ATTGGAAGATGTAACAACTTGAACAAAGCACAAAAACCCCAGTAGAGCATTTCTACCTCATGACTCACAATTATCCTCTTTGATCTCACGTCACTATGATACAAGGTCACAATTTGACAAGGTTCTGGAAGACTCATCCACACAGCTGTTACCTGACTCCATATGGGTGAGAACACAAGCCTGGTGGCTCCCACACTGGCATTCTCAGGAGATGGCTCTTCAGGCCAGGGTTTGTGGCAAATGGGGCAATGCAGGTCTGCAAGACTGGGTGCTCAGGCGCCTCTCTGTGCCAGCACTCACTCCACCTTGTGCTGGTGTTGCCTCTGTGGGGGCCTCTGCAGTGTCCTCCCTCCTGCAGTGTTTCCTGCCTGTGCCTGCAATGCCACAGCTTGGTTTCAAGGCCGGATGGAAGCATCCATGCACCAAACATCTTAAGATCTGTGCCCTGTACAAGGAGTGTGCAATGGAGTCCATGGACAGGCATGGTCTGTGAACACTGCCATACAAGTTACTGAGGCCCACATTTCTCTTGGAAACACAGGTGCCATACATGCAGTTAGTGAATAAAATCCCCCCCAAATATTTCTGGCTAATCCTTGAGAAAACCCTGACAAATGAGAATGGAGATCACAGATTGACCATCAATGACCCTGTCAGTCTCTCAAGTCCCTGCACTCTGGCTTTGTGGTGAGAGTGACAGGCTCTAAATGCCATTTGGGTCAGTTTCATATTTTCCTGTGAATTAGAATCTCGCTTCTCTCAGCCTGTGCTGCTCTCCCTATCACGTGATCTCTTCACAGGACTTGAGTGTTCACTTTAGTAAATCTTGTGTCATTTATAACTTGGCAGGTCTGGGAAATTTCCTACTTGCTAAGTTTTCCTTCCTTTGAGTTCTTATTTGACTCTGTCCTGTTGCTCCTTTCAATCACTGTATCATTATAAATGAACTGTATTGTGCTGTTTCTCTACACCAGTTCTTGTCTTCTGTATTATGCTTATATATCTATACATGGTGTCAGCATCACTGAGTCACTGAGATTTTCCAGTAAGTTTAGAAGTCTAAATTAGGTTTTTGCACTGTTTGTTTTTTTTCCAGAAATGCATTAGGTGTTATAGATTTAATTAGTCTTTTTTAATGGCACTCTGCTTGAATTATACCCACAATCAGTAAGATCAGAGTTTACAAGCACAAATCAGGGAAAGTGTACATATTAAACTATTTCTGATTCTACTATAACAGTACTTAATCTGTGTGTTCATCATGATAAAAGGAAATTCATGACTATTTCTAATTATTCATCATATATTTCATGACCCCATAGTCTCTGGAAGCGGTAGGTATATATTCAGAGTGCAATTACTGTGAAAAGTTTGGATGTTATATGTCACCAGAGTCACAGAGCAGGGGAAGTTTGTATTCATTAGGCTTTTTCAAAGCATTCTCATGCAGCAACAAGAACATTAAACTCATTTCTCTCAGGGCAAAGAATATACATGTTTATGTAAAATTTCTTTGATTATCCTTTTTAATTAGTAAACTTTTAGGAAGTTAGTTGCCATGAGGAATTTTGTAGGTACATCAGCTTCTATGATTTTATGCAAATGTGAACTTTCAATACTCTTAATTAATTATCTAAAGATATAAATCCAATGAAGAATTCATTTTGTAAATTTTAAAAGATACTAAACTACTTAGAGCAGCTGTGAAATCGCACAATCTCATCCTCTTTGCTGAGGGCTCTAATGTCAGTGCATCATCATCATTCTGTGTTCTGCCTGTCATTTTTTACCCTGATCTTACAGTGCAGCATAAAGCAACAAAAACCTGATATTATTTAACCGAACTTTGAATGTAGATATAAACACTGTGATTTATTTGAAGCTTAAGAGGATTTTCCAATGAAAGGAAATCCACAAACGGAATAGGGAAATCTCTAGTCTCTTTGACCACGTCAGGGTGTGGGGAATGCAAGAATGAAAAGGGATGGCAAAATATGAGATTTAGGGAAAAAATTCCCACTAACAATGTACTGTTGGTTGCAGGCTTAACGGCATGTACTCTCCAATAATGAAGTTTTAAAATTTGAATTGGAGACATTGTTGATATCTAACAGATTTCAGTAAGATTGTCAATGATTCAGGTTGATAGATATAAAATGTTACATAGTATAACTTGCATGAAGACGATGTAATGAAAGGCACACAGGGCCATCATTACTACATTTCCATAGGGGGAAGTGGGTCACAGGAGGATGAGGAGTGAGGAGGACCAGGGTCTCAGCAGCAATGGTCTCCATGAAGCTGCTCCTATGCTGGGGCCTGGAAGGGCTGGCTCCAGGGAACCCTGAGCCCCCTGAGGGATGCTCAGGTCCCTCAGAAAGAACTGCACAACCCTATGCTATCAGAAGCAGGATCTGCGGGTCCTGATCACTGAAGAGGTGAGGATTGTGACTGGGCTCACACTGAGCACCCCTCACTGTGGCTCCGACTTCCATCCAGACTGTTACCAGATTCCCTGAGCTTCACTGCAACATGGGCCAGATGACCACAGCAGAATTTTATTTGACTCAAGTGATGATTGGGATCCTGCAGACTGGAGAATGTTTTGTCCTTTAAAAATAAACTGAGACTTCAGAGGTAAGACAAAGATATAAAAGCACAGTGTCGGGGATAAGAAATATGCAGAAATTTCTAAACCTGACAGTAAACAACACCCACCTTCCTTTAAATGTGCTCTTTGTCTGTATACATGAAACAAATTTGCAGATAGAATATACTGAGTTGAAAAAAATAGATGAAGGTAGTTTATTATATATCTGTACTGGTACAGAAAAAATTGATAGATATTTGGAGATGAAGAATTTTATACTTTCAACTGCTTTTAAAGAAAAATAAGAAACACTTTTTTCATGAAACAACCTTTTGAGGTGATTGTCAAGAAAGAAAAGACCAAAAGAGCATTTTTGTATTTCTTTTCTATTTTTTCTTCTTTCTTTTTTAAATACTGAAATGAGTCTAAAGATCAGAAAGATCCTTATTTTCCTTAATTGGCACTTAGTCCTATAACATCAGTGCACCCTCTAAATAAAAGTCCATGCGTGTCATTCAGTCACACAGTAGTTTGAGAACAAGGACAGAAGGACAGAATAATGAATCAGTGGTTTAAATTTTATGATCTGTGCCACATAACCTTGATAGAAATTTGTAAAATTACACGCTGTAACGAATTTGACAATTTTTCTAATGTCTGAGTAGTTTTGAAATGTCATACATTTCAATATCATAATTGAGTGCTTTAGTTTATTACAATCTTTATGATAATCCAAATAACTGAAAAATTAAACCTATGTAAGGCCTCAATGTTACAACAAATATTACAAACAAAATTAGAGATTTTTCTGCAATGGGCAGATAAGAGTATATGTGGAAAAATTATTGCATGGTAAATCATTGTGAATTTCATGATGGAAATCATTATTTTTAATGCACCACATTTAATGAGACCTCTTGATATCATACTAGATATCTGTATAGTCCATATCTCTACAGATTTTGGTAATTGCCTCTATATCCATAAACAAATTGTTGTCTATTTTAAATTCAAGTGAGTATAGTAAATGAGCAGCATTGAATACATAAGCACTCAACCTTATTTCAGTTGAAGCTTCCAGTTTCTCATGCAGTTCATTCAGTTTTGTACTTCAAAAAATGTGTGTGTAAAGCCTCCATCTAACACTTGAGGAAATGAGATTACCCTTCAGTGCCAGATGTGGCAAATCTCAGGGGGCAGTGGTCTTCCAACTTGTCAACTTGATCCCTCTCCCACAGCTTCACAGCCCCACAGTCAAGGTCAGTGAAGGTCATCACGAAGCTCAGGGGCCTCACAGCAATGTTTCCATTGTCTCTTCTCACCGGGAATTGTTGTCAGATGATTTGATGTGCAGGTGACAGTCATTGCTGGGTACTCAGCCAGCCTTGGTTTAAGGGGCCACTGCTTTCTCTTTCCCACATATGTACACTTGTTTTCAATTTATTTACAATATGTGCTGTGCCATTTAGATTTTCATTTTATTTGTTTCTTTGAATAAATTTACTAAACTGAAACACTTGAGGTGATAGTTAAAAAATACATGAAGATTTGATCCAGTGTCATCGGAACTTTAATATAACTGCATATTTCAGGCATTTATTAATGATCTTTAATGGAAAAAATAAAATATATTAAATAATCAGTATGTGAACTTTATCAGTGATCTTGCCCCAAAACAAACTTTGAAAGTTAAAAATTATGAAATCAAACTAAAAATTCACGAATATTTAAATCTTTAAAGGCCTTGATTCTCGGTATCATCAATTTTATTGAATTAATTTCTCACTCAAGTGTGTAGATTTAAATTTTTTTCATGCAACATGATGTAATATTTCACTGTGGGTTAAAGGGAATGTCACTTTTAGTTTTCATACAGCTGACAGATAGTTCTTGTTTTTATCTTATTACCTTAGTAGATTCTGGCTATGTGTATACCATACCCAACCTATGGACTATGGCATATATATATATACATATATACATATATATACATACATATATACATAAATACATATAAATACAGTCATGTATTATAACCATTCTTACAAGTATACAATGTATTTTTCTAAATTGTTCATGTATGATATGAAACACTTAATTTTTTTCTTTACTATGCAAAGAATAGGAAATGCAAAATTCACACTCTGAATAACGGATTTCCTAATTGTATTACAGTATTTTATTATGTTAATTGCTTTTGGGGTATTTTTAAGTGGACAATGAATTATTTGGGTTTTTATGTGGCATTTTACATAGTTTAGATTTTAATTCTTTGTTTCTCTGCCCTTTCTACTAATTGTATACTTACTTTTTTAAATGTCATGAAGCCTGCCTGAAACAAAATGCTTTAATACTTGTACCCTTGGGACACACTCTGAGTTCCACGTGTCCCGCGCGCCCCCTGCTGGTCCTAAGAACCCCTGCACGGAGGTTTTTGTCTGGGCTCACACTGATGTTCCCTCACTGTGTCTCTCACACAGTAATACAAGGCGGTGTCCTCGGCTCTTAGGCTGTTCATCTGCAGATACAGCGTGTTCTTGCCGTTGTCCCTGGAGATGGTGAATCGGCCCTTCACGGAGTCTGCGTAGCCTGTGCTACCACCAGTATTGCTAATCCATGTGACCCACTCCAGCCCCTTCCCTGGAGCCTGGCGGATCCAGGCCATGTAATAGCTACTGAAGGTGAATCCCGAGGCCACGCAGGAGAGTCTCAGGGACGCTCCAGGCTGCACCAAGCCTCCCCCAGACTCTACCAGTTGCTCCTCACACAGGACACCTGAAAACACAGAGACATTCTGATCAAGAAGCTGTCACAAATGCCCATTGATTATCCCACTAATGTCACTCACTTACTCATTTGGTATTTATTATTTTTTCATGAATTACCTTTTAAAGTAGCAATAAGCAAAACCCAGCTCAGCGCCAGCTCCATGGTGAACCTTCTGTGCTCAATGCCAATCACCAATTGGGAAAAGCTGAGCATCCAGGGCTGGGCTCCTCCGCAGAGCTGTAAGACTGGGCTGCTGTTCATCAGCACAGCGAGGCCCTATTTGCATGCCATCTTGTATAATACAGCCAGTTCTATTCTTGAAGTCTCAGAGAGGGAAGAGTTCAAAGCACATGAGAGTGTTTTGATATTTGTTTTGTAATATCCCTAGAATACAGAACACATGGTTCCTTCCTATGTGTAACCTCAACTGCTTTTTTTATTATTACCAATATGTTATTAATGGATCGGGAAACTCGCAGGAGTGCAGATGTGTACATAGAATGAGTAGCATAATGTTCTGTGGCATGAGACATCATAGGCTATAAACTCATGCTCTCTGTGAGGTCCCACAGTCTTCTCACAGAACACAATGGCTTGTTGAGTACTTCCCGCACAGACTGTTCAAGCTGTACAATGAATGTCACATGTCTGCTTCTAATGAGGGATTATGACATTATTATTGTGTATTCTATTATATTCATAAATGGGTCGACAACCAGCATCTTTTTCAAATATATGTTCAAGGATCTGACAGCTTTTCTTACCTCTGGAGAGGTAATATATCATTAAGAATACACTATATATATTATGCCAAAAATAAACATTCCATCTTTATTTTAATGATGAATAAGTGATACACTTTTTAATAGAATTATACAAATAATTAACTATTCACAAAACCATGCCCATTCTGAAGATACCTAATGTATCTACTCATGAATTCTCCAGTCATTTTTCCATAAAACTTCCTTCCTGTAAGCACTTGCATTCTATACATTTGTAAACTGAAATGCTTATTACTGTATGTGACAGTTCCCTCTCATAGTGACAAAAATAGCAGTCTACTTTTTCATGATAATCATGAGACCTGTGTATTCCCAAGCATCTATGTTCCTCAGATTCACAGTACTTTTTCTAGAATATGCAGGTTTTGGCAGCCCTCCCATAGGAGCTCACATAAAGGGGTAAATATACACAGGGGTAAATATATTCTGTCAACACCAAAAATGCCTTTCATTCTCGGCACTCTGGAGACCTCACCAGTGAACTGGAGAGGGCGCACTGTATGCTCTCTGCAGGGAGTATGAGCCTAAGACAGAGAGGGGAAACACAGACACTAAACGTTGTGAAGCCCTTAGTCTGGACTTTCCTTCTACGCACCACCTATGGAGTTGCTCCTGATTCCCTGAAGATCCCGAGGACACTGTGCTGGTGCACAGCTTTCCCCACAGGTCCAATGCACCAGATCCCTTTTCTTGGTCCTGTGCACCTGCTGCTGATCCTGAGCGCCCTCTGCTGGTCGGCACCACCTTGTACATAGCTTTGTACCTGGGCTCACACTTAAATACCCTCAGAAAATGTATTGCACATTGCAATATGGTTGAGTTTTCCACGGACATTGAGGACAGTTACTCAGAGAACTTTTTCTTGGTTTTAGAAATGCTGACTTGTCAGAGATTATTGACCAATTTTGCTCCAGTGTTACCATCCTGCTACATCCACTCAGTTTCCTGCCTGGCAGCTGAAGGATCCAGCTCTAGGAGCAATGTCCCAGAGCTGCACCAAATAGAGAATGTGAGGCTCAGAGACAGAGACTGAGAGGGAGCCATGGGCTCCGGTACGGTCTCTTGCAGCAGTACCTGCAATGGAACAGTGAGAGAACAGGAAAAACCCTGAGACCAGAGGCAGAATCTTCACATTCTTCTGTCTGAATTTTCCTAGACTCACATATGGGAGACATCACCAGAAAGAGGAGGAACCAGAATTATACTATGTTCCTCTAGACTAACTTTACAAATCTCTGATAACATCTTAAGTATTGAGAAACGAAACACGTCAAAGCAATGTGCAATATGAACTTATCTGGTAGCTTGAAAAACATTTGTATCTGCAATGCAGTCTTGCACATGAAGATCAGAAGGAGACAGAGGATGGACAAATTTTTGTGTTTGCCTCTGGGTAGAGGATGCTGGCTGAGCTTTCTAAGAACTCAGCGATTGTTCCTGCAGTCCATTGTTCAATGCCCAAACCTCGTACTCCTGGACAGGACACGGAGGTGAAGAGCTGGTCAGGGAGCTGGTTGTGTCTGCAGATGAAAGAAAACTCTAGGAATATGAAAACCATCACACAGGCAGGAAAGATAACAAGACTGTGAGGTGCACACAGCACTTGTGCGTAACACACTGCATCGGTTCACATTCTATGTGCATCTATTCACATCCATTTCAGGGTTATTGCTCAAATCAATTTGCATTCACCATTCTGTATTTGCTCATTTAGTAACTGGAGGAAACCAAGATTTTGAAATGGATAACACATTGTTGGTTTCTCACTGAAGTGTGCAAAATTTTTCTAAAGTTTATCATAAGTTTTGTAGACTTTCATAAACTCATCTGATTGTATTTCTTTTGTGTTTGTGAAATGCATTCAATATATGTATATTCATGGGTTTCTGAGAATCTTCTTCCTACACATTAATGTTTACATGTGTGTAGTTTAATTTCTAGCCTCTGTGAAATGCTAATTATTTTTACTGACACATTTGTGCTGTTGAAAAGTGACTTGCTTGAAGACATCTGAAGCTGTCCACTCCCTTCATGGTGGAAAACAGTGCTGCATATAAATCTCAGAGCAGAGCATAGAGCCTTCAGGTAAAAGGATTTAGCTGTGATGAGGACCACACTGGTCTTTAGAGGGCTGTCATCCAACCAGAGGGATCCAGCTCTTGTTTACTATTGGTGGATTTAAAGGCTTTCCATTAAGATGCAGCAAGAACCCTCACGATACCTTGCTACTGTATTTCACAGCAAATGCTTCAGGGGTTACCTGAGGTCAGCACAGAGGAATGATTCCCCCAATGCCTTTAATTAAATCTCCGTAAAGAATTCCTGTGTGAGATGACAGCCTTATTAATTCATCTCTGAGTCAGGAAATTGGGGTGAGGATTCCTGAGTGAGTCAAGATAGAGTGCTGAGCACAGCTCCATCCCTCCTCACAGGGAGACACTGAGCATGAAAACTACACGTTCTGACCTTCAGTATGAAGAGGAGCAAATGTTGGATGAAGGAGTCACTTTGCATGTGATCGCTTCAGCAGGGAGACAAAAGGGGCCAATGTCATCTCCACTGCCACAAGTGCTGTTTGTCTACTTTTGAGACAGATTAATCCTAGAGGAACTTGACCCTGTGACTACACAAGTCAGATATTCTGTGTAATGCTGTGTCACAGTTGGGCTGGGACAGTTCCTTGAACTTGAGCCCAGGGCCCTCTCAATTCATTGAGACATGAGAATCCATGTTCTTTTAACTATTTTACCCACATCATCTTGATATGAGGAGAAAAAAAGATTCCCACCCTACTAGATATCCAGTATGCATTCATGTTCTCTAAAATTGATGAATGAATTTTAGGAACAATGTACATTAAGAGCAGAATATATTTATACAGAGAAAGAAAGCTTCTTTCTGAGAGAAAGAAGTGGTTCTGAGTGGGTGGCCAGAGACTTTGTCTTTTCTAGGGACTTCTATATAGCAAAACAACAAAGTGAGGCAGGGCCAAGGAGGGGAAAACATGGGAACACACAGGGTGGGCATGAAGTGGGACAGAACTGTGATCAACCAATAAGATTAACTATCAGGTAAAATTGATTAAGTTAGGGACAAACGGGGAAACATTTTATAGTAAGCAGGCAGGAACATAGAGCATTGACTCTTCTTATAGGGCACTGGGATGGTGTCTCCTGGAATTAGAGAGTGGCAGAGGCCTATGTGCAATATCAGTCCTTAGGATGTGGGTGTATGTGTTTGATCATTTTTTTATACCTAGCCCACAGTGGGAGGCGTCTGCCTCTACCTTAGGTACAAGGTATCTGGGCTTCTACACTGGATCCTTTGAGGGCCTAGACCTGTCTGACTGTCTATAGTATTTCTATCTAACTGAGCTGCCTAAAACAAGCCATCCTCTGAAGACGTAACACAAACTGCCATGAGGGAGTAATGGGCAATGATGGATCTGGCTTCTAAAGGCTGAGGGGGTTCATAGTTGATCAGCTGTCAGAGATACTCTGCAGAGTTTTATCTAATGACCACTATATATACCAAATATTTTTATCTTGATTAGGTATACAGCTTTAAGTCTGGAGAAGAAAAAAAGAAAGAATTATGTATACATTGTCTAAATAATACAATTCTTAGGGTAATTATGATTACGTTGAACAAGGATTTTCATCAAAAGGACTAGTAATGACTTTCTACAAGGACAAAGTCCAGGGAATTTTACAATCTTATATATCACTGAGTTGTCATCTTATATCTTGAACAGCTACTTAGACATTAGCAGAAAGATCAGGAATGTAAGCATTGAATTTTTACAACTGCCTAAGTACCTTCTGTGCTAAGTACCTCCTATCTCATGGCTTCTGAGTTTGGAGGATGGCTTGTTTTACTGAATTTATCTTTTTTATTTAGGAGAGAGAGAGACCAGCTTCAGAGTCATTTATGGCCCAATTGGGTATAGCTAGTTAAGGGCTTGATATGGATCATAGAAACTTTTCTGAAGACTGAATCTGGTGGGTCCCAGTATGAGGAATCTGAAAAAAATCTAGTATACTTGTTCTTGTGTTTATCTGAATGATGTCTTAGGGTTTGGAATCCCTTAGGCAAAAACCAAGTTAATCAAAGCATATGTAAGCAAAATATGATCATTATACATAAAAGTTAAGTTTAGAAACTAGTTCTAAGCAAATTCATCATACAGTATTCAGCAAGTTGTCTCCTGGCTGATGATCTATAGTTCTGATGTAATGGATGTGTATTCTGTCTACACTGAGCTTCAAATACTGTAACCCCAATTATTGAATATTGTAATCCAAATATTGCAGTCCTTTTTCCAGTCTTCCTCACAATCCAAAAAGTTATATTTTTAATCCCACTGAGGCATTATTGGAATCCTAGCAAGTTAATTTCAATGTATCACCTCCAATGCAACTCACAGAGAGCGTAAAGACACCAAGACACATTCAAAGTTAAGGACGT